CATATTAGTGTAGCAACTTGTGTGTGGACACTCAGACCATCCACCACACATCAAACTTCCTTCACCCCGGCTGCTGCTTCTGGTAAAAGTTACTCTTATTATCATTTTACTGGACTTATCTCCCTTGGATCAAACCTAATTGCTTCCTATTTCCCAGGTGCAATATGACCTTTATGGGTTTAGCTCTTCCCTTTGATAAAAATATGTTAATTTATAATGTGATCCATTCTATGTGGTTCATTTAAAATGTTGTCTGGTGGGGCATTCCAGTCAGGGAATCAGGGAAGGTTCTTTGGTACCCGTGAAGGACTCGAACTAATGAAATGGAGCTAATCTCTTCCTTGGATCAAATCTGTTTGCCTTCAGTTCCCCAGACACTGTATGATCCCTACAGGTATAGTGCTTCCTTGTGAATGTAATAATCCATTCTAGGATAGGATCACACATAAGTCTATAGTTGCCAACTACTACTCGGCAGAACTTGGGCATTAGTTTTCATTTTACAATACATATAACCTATGTACACTGCACAATAAGTAAATATTTCTTGTGCAGTTAGTTATTTTGGGAGATACTAGCAAAGACAGTACATTTATTTTGATTGGAGAGCATGTCTGGACCAATCACTGCTTGATATTGAGTTGTCTCATGGGACTGTCCCAGAGTAGGCAAACACATGTACCACTGGTGGAGTAAGGTTAAGTCACTAAATTGTAATACTGTATTTTTTATATGCTATGTCAAAACTGTAATTCTTCTCTACCAAACTTGTTAAAGCCATATAGTATGAACTAGTTGAATATTAATTTTTTTGTATTCACTGTAACTCACCTAATGACCATATGTACAATTATAGCACTGTTATTGCCTTATTAATCTTAAGTTAGTCTTAAATTTGGCCCAAAATGCTCTGCATATAAAAGGACTTTTGGCATGTTCACCAAATTGTTGCACTCCTTTGTACAAACATATATCATGCTAAAATAAAATTGTTATTGTTAAGTTGGGCTTTGTTAGGTTACAGTACGTTATATGTTTTTAACATTTATACAGCGGAATATCTTGACTACAAAACCAACTTAACATTGTACAGTTTAATCTATGAATAATGTCTGAAATCCACTAAATGGCAATTGTATACTTTTACTAAAACTTGTTCTATCTAGGCTGGAATATTGCTGCACACTAACAGCACCTTTCAAGGCAGGTGAAATTGCCGACCTAGAAAATGTACAGAGAACTTTCACGGCGCGCATAACGGAGATAAAACACCTCAATTACTGGGAGCGCTTGAGGTTCCTAAATCTGTATTCCCTGGAATGCAGGAGGGAGAGATACATGATTATATACACCTGGAAAATCCTAGAGGGACTAGTACCAAACTTGCACACGAAAATCACTCACTACGAAAGCAAAAGACTTGGCAGACGATGCACCATCCCCCCAATGAAAAGCAGGGGTGTCACTAGCACGTTAAGAGACCATACAATAAGTGTCAGGGGCCCGAGACTGTTCAACTGTCTCCCAGCACACATAAGGGGGATTACCAACAGACCCCTGGCAGTCTTCAAGCTGACACTGGACAAGCACCTAAAGTCAGTTCCTGATCAGCCGGGCTGTGGCTCGTACGTTGGTTTGCGTGCAGCCAGCAGCAATAGCCTGGTTGATCAGGCTCTGATCCACCAGGAGGCCTGGTCACAGACCGGGCCGCGGGGGCGTTGACCCCCGGAACTCTCTCCAGGTAAACTCCAGGTAATCACATCTCTCTGTATAGCCCTTAGATCAGTCACTCAAGGTGTAAATTTCACATTGCATAGAGTGCCTTGTTTGACTGTTCAACTGCCTCCCATCATACATGAGGGGGATTACCAATAGACCCCTGACTGTTATCTTGAGGGAACGGGACAGGCACCTAAAGTCAATTCTGACCAACCAGGCTGTGGTTTATATGTCAGTTTGCATGCAGCTAGCAGTAACAGCCTGGTTGATCAGGCCCTGATCCACCATTAGGCCTGGTCATGGACTGGGCCGCAGGGGCATTGACCCCCGAAACACCCTCCAGGTATACTTCAGGTATCCCCAGCATGGGTGGAAACGATGGGAATATTTCCTTACACCTGCTGCACCTGTTCACCTAGTAGTAAATAGGTACCTGGGGTGTTAGTCAACTGTTGTGGGCCACATCCTGGTGGACAGGCTTAAAGGACCCCAATGGAGATGAAGCAGTCCCTGATGAGGCACTGACTTTTATTTTACCCTGACTTATCTCTTATCTTACTTTTCTCTGGAATTTGCTTGTAACAGATAAGTGAACTATAGATATGTAGATATAAATCCATATGTATTCCTGTTAACCCTTTGGGGCCTAGTTCCTAGGCCTTTTGTGTATCCACATGCTCTCGCGCTACCGTCCACAGGATGGATATGGGGTGCACAATAAACTAGCCACTTCGGTGGCAAAATCTAATCTTTGATGTCAGTGATGGGCTCTTGTTCTAGGGATGTGGCACTTTATCTCTTCAGGAGAGGTTCTTGATGCTGGTGAGGGGCTCTTAATCCAGGGAACTGGATCCCCTTGGTGTTATATAATAATTTTTATTTTGACATGATACATGATTGTACAAAAGAATATAATAGTTGGGTGTACATGCCAAAAGCCCCTTGTGGAAAATTGCATTTATCTGAATGTAACTCATTATATACATAACAGAAAATGATAACAAAGATAATTATTATTTATCAGAGTTACATAGACAAGTAGGAATTTGGGACACCTAGGTCGCAAAAATGTCCCCCTTCGATACCTACCACTGTCATATCCACAAGTTGCTCTGGACCTATTAATTAAATGAAATATACATACACCAGGAATACTGGTAAATATATAAATTTGTGGACTCTATATTAAAAATTAAAGAATAATTATAGATATACACAATTACCTAACAGAAAGAGAATATCTTAATATCACTCACCAATTTGACTGGAGATTAAGTTGTATCATACTCAGAAAAACCTCACTAACTAAATTTATGAAAACACTGGCCAGAATTATACACAAATCTAGAGAGCTTATCTGAGGTTCCTGGAGAGGTCTTGTCCAGTCGCCTGATATCTCAAGTTATGCAGGAATGCACATCCACCAATTTCACCTCCTATTTGAGAGGTGTCAACACAATTTTAACCTCTAGAGCACGAAAATTTCTACCCATTACACCAACGTTCAAATACAAATTCAAAACCAAGATGGCAAGTCCCGTCTGCACAGACGCAGGCTTTCCGTTTTCTGTGACATAAATATTATTAAATACAGTATGGCCATCTATTTACATATAAGTACTGAATTTCTGGAAAATATATACAGTATTTTCCACACCCCTTTGTATGCAGATCATTTTGGACAAACTTAATTTTAAGATTAATATGGCAATAACAGTTCATATGGTCATTAGATGAGTTACATTGAGTACAAGAGAAATGAGTATTCTATTAAGTAATACTATATGACTTTAATAAGTCTAGTAGAGAAGTTCAGTATAGAATAATTACAGTTTTGACATAGTTTATAAAAAGTACAGTAATTACAGTTTAGAACAATTTAAAACAATTTACAGTATGAAGTATTACAATTTAGTACATTTTAAAACAATGAGATCGAAACACTTATAAATGGTTGAGCAGCCATCAGCAGTATACATTAATGATATTGAAACAATTTTAGTTTGAAGTAAATTTATTTATTTATTTATTTATTTAATAATTTGAACATACATACAGAGGTACAAAAAAATACAGGTAAGAGCAGCATGCAAAAGCCACTTGTATGCATAGCATTACGGGCAGGCTTAAAATTAACTTAAGATTAACTAAGCAATGATGTAATCAGTGATAAAACATTATTGTAAACAGATAACAATAAAGCACAAATGAGTATTACAAAGACAGGTCATATGGTTGCATGCATTGCTGTACATTCAGTAGACTGGAGTATTCTGTTAGGTAGTGTATTTAAAAAATAAAGTTAGATCGGGTCTTAGGTTTAACATTTATGTGATATATTTGTGAGAAACATTTAAGATATACAATTTATAAAGTTCAGTTATTCAGTATTTGGTTTTGGGTGAGTAAGTGATCTTTGAATATGGTCAAATAGTTGAGCGGTGTTAAATTATTTAGAATTTTTTTTTAATAGCTTTTGAGTAACTGGTAGGTGTTAAGTAAAGTGTTTGGCTTGTCTAGGTTTCGTGTTTCCCCAAAGTATGAAAATAATACTAAGTAGGACCCTAAAAGAAGCAGATCCTCATATTTGGGCCATGCTAGCCCTCAAAGGAAGTTTCTTAATGATGATGAGGGGCTCTTGATTCAAAGAATTAAACCTAAGAACACAGTGGAAATAAGCACACTGTTTTAGCTTTCTTGTCTTTTCCTGAATGAAGAAAAAAGATTTTATTTCTTTGTTAAGGTTACAATGTGTAATTACAATTTTGGTTTGCCTTGGTTTTCGTCGAATTCAGTTTTCAACGACTTTTTTCGCCAAAATTTTGTCCCAGTTTTCATTCATCACCTCGGTTTTCATCGAGTTGGCAGTGGTCTGCTATCCTGAATGTGTCCGCCCACGCCCACACAATCATCCCATGCATTCTGAGTCAGTCTGGCTTTGTTTCTCGTCAGCAGAGTGGTAGTGATGGTGGTAGAGGGTGGTAGTGATGGTGGTAGAGGGTGGTAGTGATGGTGGTAGAGGGTGGTAGTGATGGTGGTAGAGGGTGGTAGTGATGGTGGTAGAGGGTGGTAGTGATGGTGGTAGAGGGTGGTAGTGATGGTGGTAGTGATGGTGGTAGAGGGTGGTAGTGATGGTGGTAGAGGGTGGCAGTGATGGTGGTAGAGGGTGGTAGTGATAGTGGTAGAGGGTGGTAGTGATGGTGGTAGAGGGTGGTAGTGATGGTGGTAGAGGGTGGTAGTGTTAGTGGTAGAGAGTGGTAGAGATGGTAGTGATGGTGGTAAAGGGTGGTAGTGATGGTGGTAGAGGGTGGTAGTGATGGTGGTAGAGGGTGGTAGTGATGGTGGTAGAGGGTGGTAGTGTTAATGGTAGAGAGTGGTAGTGATGGTGGTAGAGATAATCTCTCCTCCCTCTCCCCTCCTTGCTGTCTTCCATATGCCAATAAAGGTAAAAGTGATGTTAAATGTTCATTTATCCATTTCATTAGTGTTTTATATTTTTTCTCAATTGTTTTCTGTTTGTAAAACTGTAGTTATTCTCTATAAAATGTATTTTTTGTTAATACTTTTGAATGTCTGGAATGGATTAATTGAATTTTCATTACTCCTTATGGGAAATATTGCTTCAATTTTCGTTGAATTCGGTTTTCGTTAGACTTTCTGGAACAAATTAATGATGAAAACCAAGGTTCCACTGTACAAAGAAAGCCACTATCATGCTGAGGCATTTTGGGCAGGCTAATCCTAGTACATAATAGCTACATAAGTCTAGACACTGGATTATTAACCTTCCAGGGTTAATAATTTGAAAAATCTGGAGGAAATATTAGCTAGAACTGAGTATACTACAAACTCTAATCACACAGTAGAATGGAAAAGTAATGTGAAGGACCTGGGAGTGGTAATGTCCAAAGATCTCACCTTCAAGGATCACAACAGAGTCACTATCACATCTACGAGGAAACTGATAGGATGGATAATGAGAACATTCAAGACGAGATGCCAAGCCAATGTTGATCCTTTTTAAATCACTTGTTCTCTCTGGGCTGGGATACTGCTGTACATTAACATCCTCATTCAAGGCAGGTGAAACTGCAGATCTAGAGAACATATAGAGAACCTTTGCTGCACATATAAGTCCATCAAACACCTTAACTACTGGGAATGCCTGGAAGCACTTGACTTGTACTCACTGGAGCACAGGCAAGAGAGACACATCATAATCTACACCTGGAACATCCCTGAGGGACTGGTCCCTAATCTGCATACAGAAATCACTCCTTACGAAAGCAGAAGACTTGGCAGGCAATGCAACATACCCCCAGTGAAAAGTAGGGGCACCATTGGTATATTAAGTGAAAACACAATAAGTGTCTGGGGCCAAAGACTGTTCAGCAGCTCCTACCAGCCATAAGGGGAATTATCAATAAGCTCCTGATTGTCTTCAAGAGAGAGCTGGACAGATACCTAAAGTCAGTGCTGGATCAGCCAGGCTGTGGTTCACACGTTGGACTACATGCAGTCAGCAGTAACAGCCTCGTTGATCAGGCCCTAATCCATCCGGAGGTCTGGTCATGGACTGGGCTGAGGGGGTGTTGATCCCTGGATTGCCCTCTAGGTAGCATCAGTGCATATGTCAAGACACAGTAGTTCACCCAGGTTACTGTTGACATTAGTTTCTTGTTATACACTTTGTACTGTAAAATTTTTACTCTTTCTTTTTGATAAGGAAAATGTTGACTCACTTTTTCAGTTTCAAATTATTTTTTCTAACCATTGCCTACATGACTCCCTTTTAGATGGTAACGTTGATATTCCTTGCCTGATCTTTTTATTTTAGCCTTCAGTTGAAGTTAATCTCTGTATCTAACTGAGTTGTATATCTTACTGTAGTCATCCTGGGTTCAGTTCCATCTCTTTCCTTATCTCTATTATCTGTTGAATATCAAGTACATCATTAAAGATCAAATAACATTTTGTTACAGCTTAATTTACCTTTGTGAAAATGAAAATGTTTATTTCTTTGCAAAGCTTACAATGTGTGGTTTACATATAAAATATTAATTACAAAGAAGGCCTCTAGCTGTGCAGTTTACTACTGTGGTTAGTTTATAATTGGTGTATTTGAGTTCATTGTAATTCCTCCTATAAGTTATTTTGATTGATCTTTTAAATCAGCTTTTTTTTTTTCCAAGAAGAGCAAGTAATAAGATAGTCATTATTCCTGTATAAAGGATTTTAATTTTTATCACTTTGGAGATAAACCCAATAATAGACAATATCCTGGCAAAATTTCCTAAAAACTGACATCAGTTAGTGGCAGAAAAATGTTGTATGAAGTACTGTACTATCTTTTCTTTTTTCCTTTATTATTTATAATTTTTTGGCTTGAAATTTTTTAAACTTTCTCATAATTAAGTTGGCTTCTTTTTCAGCATATAACTCTGTTAGGACACTTAGGATGTCAAAGGAAAAGAAAAGTCATCTCTCCCTCAAGACTGTAGCCATTAATCTGGCTGCAGGAGGATCTGCAGGTAGATCTATTAAGATTTTTATATGATATATTGTATTCATAGAAAAGTTGTACACATAATTGATTTTTATTTATTGATGACTTGGGAATTATAGTACTGTAATTGAAATTATTGTTGCCTTGGCTCTCTTAATACATTGCTCTTTAATTGTTCTTCATTGTCAAATTACCCAAGAATAAATTTGTATATGGTAGTTTTAGGTATGGTGTATATGCTCTGTAAATTAATTATTTTATGATATTTAAGTTTTGTGATTATTTTTTATTTTTATTATTATTTTATTATCACACTGGCCAATTCCCACCAAGCCAGGGTGGCCCGAAAAAGAAAAACTTTCACCATCATTCACTCCATCACTGTCTTGCCAGAAGGGTGCTTTACACTACAGTTTTTAAACTGCAACATTAACACCCCTCCTTCAGAGTGCAGGCACTGTACTTCCCATCTCCAGGACTCAAGTCCGGCCTGCCGGTTTCCCTGAACCCCTTCATAAATGTTACTTTGCTCACACTCCAACAGCACGTCAAGTATTAAAAACCATTCATCTCCATTCACTTTCCTTTCAAACACCTCACGCATGCTGCTGGAAGTCCAAGCCCCTCGCACACAAAACCTCCTTTACCCCCTCCCTCCAAAACCCTTTCCTAGGCCGACCCCTACCCCCCGCCTTCCTTCCACTACAGACTGATGCACTCTTGAAGTCAATTTTGTTTTTGATCCATTCTCTCTACATGTCCGAACCACCTCAACAACCCTTCCTGAGGTGGTTCGGACATGTAGAGAGAATGGAGCGAAACAGAATGACTTCAAGAGTGTATCAGTCTGTAGTGGAAGGAAGGCGGGGTAGGGGTCGGCCTAGGGAAGGTTGGAGGGAGGGGGTAAAGGAGGTTTTGTGTGCGAGGGGCTTGGACTTCCAGCAGGCGTGCGTGAGCGTGTTTTGTGATTATACGAAACAAAATGATCGTTTGGTATTAGGCTATGATGACTTGTATCACAATTCATATATAAAGCTTTCTTATTTAAGATTTTTAATTTGCAGGCTTTACCGAAATATGCATCATGCATCCTCTGGATGTGGTTAAAACCAGGTTCCAAATTCAGACTACGGGTGTTCCAGGTGACCCAAACTACTACACCTCAGTGTTTGACTGCATGCGCAAGATGGCTAAGAGTGAAGGTCTATTATCTCTCTATAAAGGTGTCTTGCCACCTGTGTTGGTTGAGACACCAAAGAGAGCTGTTAAGGTAACTATTTTTTTTTTTTTTGGAACGTTGGGTTAATATAATAAGCCAAATTAAGTCATGCATCCATTGACCATCAATTTTGTTAATATCCAATATAACAATAATTTTCAGGTATCTGTACAAAAAATTAATTTATAGGCGTATTTCTATTTATTTTTTTTTTTTTTTTTTTTTTTTTTTTTTCAACAAGTCGGCCGTCTCCCACCGAGGCAGGGTGACCCAAAAAAGAAAGAAAATCCCCAAAAAGAAAATACTTTCATCATCATTCAACACTTTCACCACACTCGCACATTATCACTGTTTTTGCAGAGGTGCTCAGAATACAACAGTCTAGAAGCATAAACATATAAAGATACACAACATATCCCTCCAAACTGCCAATATCCCAAACCCCTCCTTTAAAGTGCAGGCATTGTACTTCCCATTTCCAGGACTCAAGTCCGACTATATGAAAATAACCGGTTTTTCCCCGAATCCCTTCACTAATATTACCCTGCTCACACTCCAACAGATCGTCAGGTCCCAAGTACCATTCGTCTCCATTCACTCCTAAACTAACACGCTCACGCACGCTTGCTGGAAGTCCAAGCCCTTACCCACAAAACCTCCTTTACCCCCTCTCTCCAACCCTTTCGAGGGCGACCCCTACCCCGCCTTCCTTCCCCTATAGATTTATATGCTTTCCATGTCATTCTACTGTGATCCATTCTCTCTAAATGACCAAACCACCTCAACAACCCCTCTTCTGCCCTCTGACTAATACTTTTATTAACTCCACACCTTCTCCCTAATTTCCCAAAACTCCGAATTTCTGCATAATATTTACACCACACATTGCCCTTAAACAGGACATCTCCGCTGCCTCCAACCGTCTCCTCGCTGCTGCATTTACCACCCAAGCTTCACACCCATATAAGATGGTTGGTACTACTATACTTTCAATACATTCCCTTCTTTGCCTCCATAGATAACGTTTTTTGACTCCACATATACCTCAACGCACCACTAAACCTTTTTTCCTCATAAATTTTCTATGATTAACCTCATCCTTCATAAATCCATCCGCCGACACGTCAACTCCCAAGTATCTGAAAACATTCACTTCTTCCATACTCTCCTCCCCCAATTTGATATCAATTTTTCTTTATCTAAATCATTTGACACCCTCATCACCTTACTCTTTTTCTATGTTCACTTTCAACTTTCTACCCCTTTTCACACATTCCCAAACTCATCCACTAACCTTTTCAATTTTTCTTTAGAATCTCCCATAAGCACAGTATCATCAGCAAAAAGTACTGTGTCAAATTCCCATTTTGAATTTGATTCCCCATAATTAATCCCACCCCTCTCCCAAACACCCTAGCATTTACTTCCTTTACAACCCCATCTATAAATATATTAAACAAACCCTGGTGACATTACACATCCCTGTCTAAGACCTACTTTACCGGGGAAATAGTCTCCTCTCTTCTACACACCCTAACCTGAGCCTCACTATCCTCATAAAAACTCTTTACAGCATTTAATAACTTACCACCTATTCCATATACTTGCAACATCTGCCACATTGCTCCTCTATCCACTCTATCATATGCCTTTTTTTAAATCCATAAATGCAATAAAAACTTCCCTATCTTTATCTAAATACTTTTCACATTATGCTTCAATAAAAACCCCCTGTTCACACATCCCCACCCACTCTAAAATCCTTGCTCACCGAAATCCTACATTCTGCCCTTCCCTCTAATTCTTTCTTTTTAAAACCCCTACCGCCCTTTTTCCCGGTAATCAGAAGCATCCTCTATAATTTTTACAGTCTTTTGCCCCCTTTCCCTTTATAAAGGGACTATACATGCCCTCTGCCAATCCCTAGGACCTTCCCCCCCTTTCTACATTTATTAAAAAAAGACCAACCCCTCCCAAAACATATCCCCCCCCCCTTTTAACATTTTTGCATGATCCCTATTCCAGCCCTTTACCCCCCTTTCATTTTACGAAACCTCACGAACCTCCCCCACATTACATTTGCTCTTCTTCACCCTAAAATGGGATACCTCCCCGCCAGTGCATGAAAATTAAATGCCCCTTTTTCTTCCCCTTTAAAATTTAAAAGTTCCTCAAAATATTCTCGCCTCTACCCAAAACCTCCTCCCCCCTTTTTGGTTTTTTGGGAAAAAAAAAATTTTTTTTTTTTTTTTTTTAAAAAAAGTGCCCTCCCCCACTCATCATCTGCTCTCCTTTTCCCTCCTCTCAAAACCCCCTCTTTTTCCTTCTTTTACTCTCCCATATACTTGCTCTTCTTATAAAAACTTTGTTTGTAAAAAACCTCTCATAAGCTACTTTTTTTCCCTTTTATCACCCTTTACTTTTTCCTCCACAATCACTCCTCTTTTCCCCTTTCCCGCCCCCCCCCTCCTATAAACCCCAAACTTCTGCCCCAATTCTAAACTTCATTTTTAAAACTATTCCCCAACCTCTTCAAACCCCCCCACTACTTCTTTGCACAGCCCCCCTTTTCTGCCAAATCGCTTAATCTCACCCAATTTCCCCCTCCCTTAGTTTTACACTTTCACCTCCCTCTTACTTGTTTTTTGCCACCTTCCTCTTTTCCCACTACCTCTTACTCTAACTGTAGCTACAATAAATAATATCCATATATCAGTTTCCCTCATAAAATGTACATCCTGGAGCCCAAACCCCTAACCTTTATCCCCAAACATAAAATTTAAAAAACTACTTTTATTACTGCTAATCATACCTTTATTTTATTTTTCCCTTTTTAAAAATAGTATTACTTATTACCAAAATTTCTTTCTACACATAGCTCAATTAAAGGCTCCCCATTTACATTTACCCCGGGAAACCCCCAAATTTACCTACTACTCCCTCCATAACATTTTTACCCACTTTAGCATTAAAATCCCCAACCACCATTACTCTCACACTTGATTCAAAACTCCCCACGCATTCACTCAACATTTCCCAAAATCTCTCTCTCTCCTCTACACTTCTCTCTTCTCCAGGTGCAAAACACGCTTATTATAACCCACTTTTTCACATCCAATCTTTATTTACTCCACATAATCCTTGAATTAATACATTTATAGTCCCTCTTTTTCCTGCCATAAACTTATCCTTCAACATTATTGCTACTCCTTCTTTAGCTCTAACTCTATTTGAAACCCCTGACCTAATCCCATTTATTCCTCTCCACTGAAACTCTCCCACCCCCTTCAGCTTTGTTTCACTTAAAGCCAGGACATCCAGCTTCTTCTCATTCATAACATCCACAATCATCTCTTTCTTATCATCTGCACAACATCCACGCACATTCAGACTTCCCACTTTGACAATTTTCTTCTTCTTATTCTTTTTATATAAATGTTAATTACTTGTCCCATTAGAGAAATAGACCTAAAATTTTGCATAATTATGCAAATGAGGTCACCTCAAACTTTAAACACATGTGCTAATGTGATAGAGAGTAAGTTGTACTTGTGTATGGTGCAAGACCTGGTTGCTACTTCATTAATGCTGCACATTTCATAGCTCTTTACACTAGTATATAGGGTATACTATAAAGTAGTTTCATGGTTTATTGCATTAATAAAAAGAATTTTGCAAGGGAAACTGAAATATTCTGTAATTTTAGGGATTATTACTACTTAGAGGAATTAGAAGGTTGCCCAGTGAGGTATAAAACTCCTAACATACCAGTGTGAAACAGAAGTCTCTCATATATTTTGCAACCTGCCAAGATTGCTGATCTTTGGTTTCTGTCTCATGAAAACAAAAGACAGTACATTATGGAAATCTTACTAACTTCTACTTGCTGTCAATATACTGCACATTATTTTCTTGTGTATTTCAAAATACTGTAGTTCTTATTCCTGCAATATTTCCTTTCCAATTTAGGAGGCCTGGTCTGAGACCAGGCTGCAGTGATAGTGATCCCTGGAATCATTAACAGATTTAACTGATATGACACAACTCTTAGGAGGAACATGCTACCACAACATTTGACAATTATTGGATGAAACTGCACTACTGCTTCACTCACATGAAATCTCACAAGTCTATAGTACAGAATTCTTCTGTTGTTCCCAGCAGTACTGATGATGATAATCATTAGGTGAGACAATTTGTAGATCACAGATAATTTACTATTTCTAGCATGATGGCAACATTCACTATGCATAAATTGTAGCTTGCATACATATTTGCTTCCATTAGTCAAGAGCATGAATATCTTCTGCTGTTCCTGGCCGTACTGATGGCGAGACTTAATTTGTAGATTTCAAAACAATTCAGGAACGTTATACAGATTTTGTTGGAAATGAGTACAGATAGCTAAGATATATGAATAACATCTCTCCGAGAATTCTTTCAGTTTGGCTCTGCAATCTTTTCAGTGGTAGAAATTGAGCTTCCAAAATTTCAATGTTGCTGTCCCTCTGCATCAGGAACTGCTGCAGTAGGAACTATAGTACAGTATCTAGCAAGAATCTGCTATGGGATGAGATCTTCAGATTATGGCCAGAATACTGAAAATGTTATAATTCTTAAAATGAGTGGAAATATTCTGCTTGGCTAATCCTGTGAATCTTCTAGAAACATTATTTTCACATAAATTATTTATTCTTGGCTAATTTCAAGCCTACCTTAAGAAAGTTGTCTTTTTAATCATTGACTATTTCCCACAAATGCAGGGTGACCCAAAAAAAGGAAACACATTCACCATCACTCGTTCTCTAGATGTCTTTTCAGAATTGCACAGACCATAATTTAAATGACCCTCCAAACTGTAGCATCTCTATCTATCCTTCAGAGAGTACATACCTCTTAGAAAATATCCTTATAATTCTGTTAACCTATTAGAATTCACATCAAAGTGTTTTCATTTCATGAATATACAGAATTAAAATACTTTTAAAGTTCTTTCATTTACAACAGACAATAAATGGGCAAACAAAGAAAATGGTTACTTGAACAGCAGG